TTTATTTCCACTTTTATTTATTTTCACATTTATGTATTTATTTACGTATTAATTTATTTATTTTCACATTTATTTATTTCTACATTTCTTTGTCCATAGGGTAATGAGGAGGGCGTGTTTTATCTCAGGAATAGCAATCGAGCCAGAGTAGGCAAGGGGTATGCTTTGAGGCCACAGTGACACCTTGTGGTGCCCAAACGAAGTACAAGAAGTGTAGCCTACATGACGCGCCTGTTGATAGTGTGGGATGAATGACTTGAGCAATATGGCCAAAATCTTATATCACGGGTTATTATTTCAGTTTCACATCTGGGTTGTTTCTTCTGGGAAGCCTGCAATCTGCGATTGCGCAGTTTGCTCACACTCGCGAAAGCCTGCAATCGCTTTCCTATGCGCGCTGTTTATGTTTTACTTTCGCTTTCGAATGCCCTCTCTTGGTGCCGGCCCTGGCCCCGCTCTCTATGAATGAAAACACCTAATCCGTCTTCTGCGCAGTGCCACTGTCAGTATGCCATGGTAGGCGCACACAAGAGCATGCTCTCTCCGCCGGAACCGTCTTGCAGCACTTCTGCGTCTTCGCAAAATCCTTGTTACAACATCGTATAGATGACATTGTCTCATCCGATGCTCATACGTGTCTTCATATTGCGTTTGTAGCTGATAACAGAAAATCAGTAAAATAGTACAAATTGCAGTACGAAAAATCTCCACGATTAGCCTGTTTTTTGCACTTTGGAATTTCTGTCCAATGAATGGATGACCTTAGCACACGTGTGGTTTTGTTTACAGTTTCTGGTTCACTTGCAAAAAGGGCAGTGTGAAAGCGAACCGCACCAAACAAAAAAAAAATCAACTTTGTAATTTGGTCCGGACCAAAGTGTCACAGATCGGCCAGGCTCAGCCACCTCCCAATCACAGCGAACACCATCACGTTTCCCTGACTGAATTCAGAATAGTCAGAAGTGTTTGTGCTTCATTAAAGACTAAGGCCTGTCATTTGTATTTACAACCTCTAGGTCACAGTATTACACCAGCATCTATCACCAGATTGCTGATTGATGAAACTATGGGGAAGTTTTGGATGTGATCAAAACTTCCCCATAGTTCGCCCCAAAGGTTCCCCAAGACTACAAGCTTCAAAGCTGTACATTTACAACAATCAAGTTAAACCGGTTTTGAAACTCCAGACATGCATGACTTTCATGAACACAGACAAACACTGCACTGGATTTTTAAGTTTGTGTTACTTCCTCATAAGAAATAAGTTCAATCATGTGAATGTCTTTCAACATTTCAGTAAGCAAAGTTACTGAACAAATTGGGAACGAACTGCTCTGGTCTGCTCTGAACATTTTTGTCTGGCACATTTTCGTAGTATGGACAGTTTTATGATCTTGTCACAGTATAATGCAGACTTTGCAAAGAGACTGTTATTGAAGGACTAAGAGTTCAAATTATATGGGATACAACAGCAAACTCACAGTCATTCGGATCACCAGATCACATTCATTTAAGCATTTATTAAAGGCATCTGGAAATAAGCTCCAATATTAGAACAGCTAAGGAGCATTGTCAGGCATGATGTGGAGTGGGTTCACTTCAAGATTTCAAAAAAGTAAACAAAAACAAAAAAATGTGTTTTCTCCCTCATGTGCCCATATTTGGTCATTCCTGTTCCTGTCCTCGTTGTTTCATTATTAGTTGATCGCCCTCACCTGTCTGTACCTCGTTATGTTGTGTATTTAAAGTCTTGTCTGCCCGTCACCACAAAAAGAGTCTACACATGATCACATAGCAAAACAATAATAACACCATGCACACAACTAACAATCCTTGTTTATTGAAAAACTGGACGTTTACTAATATATCATACTCCAAAACATAGCAGACACACACACACTGCAACATTCCTATAAGCAAACAATTTCCACTATCTTGATTTACACTGTAACATTTCAGTACCATTTTATTTAGCATATTTTATATCATTTTACTTAATTAGCAAAACATATGGATTTATTTTTATCTTTCCTTTGTAAAACAAATGTTACAGTAATTCACATTATAGACAACAAAATCTTTGTAAAGCTACCAATTTGTTTAAATACAAAGTTCAGATTTATGATGTTCACCTCTGTTACAGTACTGTAGCGTCTGGACCAATCAAACACACAATATATATTTTGACGTTGTTCATTGTTTGCTCATAACTGGAGTCCCTTAATCATGCAGAGTTATGCTACAAGCTCGGTGTAGAATTGTACAGTAAGAAAGTTATTTCCCTTAACCAGGAAATTAACGTTCTTAGAATTGACAGACAGTTGACCCTGAGAGGTCAAGTAAATATCTACAGCGGATCTAAATATGTATAATTAATTATAACTAGTTATGATTAATTATTCATATTTCCCCATGAGCTGATTCGCTACAGTACTAATGCTGTTACTACATTAGTACAATTGTTACTGTATATATCAATGATCACATTTCTGAGGTTAAACTTTTTTAACCTGTTATTATGCTATATTATATAAAAATGTATGCTTCACACTGCAAATTGAACCAATTTTGGTACAACATATCTGATACATTTTACATTACTACTCGTGTACTGTATCTGTTCTACTACATTTGTTTTATCCTCTTTGGAAAAAAAAAAAACAATTGAAAAAAAACTGTTC